ATTTTCGTTAATTCTATAATTCATAGAGTGTGCATTTATCGGTACCTTATATTTTAAAAGAAAAAAATAAGTATAAGCATCAATGAAAAACTTTTGAGGTCAATTTTCCGATAGGGGCTCGCTCGTAGGTAAGCGACAACGACAACTTGGAAATATAGATAGTGAATATGTTTCCAAGTGATAGATATGAATATGTTTCCAAGTGATAGATATGAATATGTTTCCAAGTGAAAATAGCCCCTACCCGACATTGCTGCTTCAGAAAAAGTTAGCTCTATTAGAGAAATTCTAATAATGAAATCATCAAATGTGGATGGGTTAACCAACCATTGAGTTACCATCTAAAAATACGAAATATTGAGAAGTTTCAACCCAACGACTTATAGGACGTAAGGTTCTGATTGCTGTTAAGATTTGAGAATAATAAAAAAAAATCCGTTAGGATACAAATATTATGCTGACACTATGTTACGGGTCTATCTTTGTATGAATTGGTATAACGAACTGTCTAAAAACTATGTATTTGCTATGTGCGATCAGACGTTTTGCACATGAAACCTAACTTCACGTATATGTTACCAATGAGACTTCAGAAAGATGCTCTTATATTAAAATTGTTATTTCTAGCTTGTGCGTTTTGTAGGTTAGGTTAGGTTTTATGTATGAAACGCCTGATTGCATAACAAATATAAAGCTTTTTTACAGTTTGCTACTACCAATTTATACGAATATAAACCCGTAACATAGTGTTACCATACCATTTCTGTTTTACGGAATAATTAGTCCTTCAGTTTTAATCTAATTCAAAATGCAATCTTTAATAAACAATAAATATAGAATATAAATTGATTCAGGCATGAGTTCAGATTAATTTCAAAGGTTTTTTTTTTTTTTTTTTTTTAATTTCAATAATTATTACAACTGTTAAATAATTAACATCTAACAATATTGACAAACAATAACGTAAATTTAAATAAATAAGAGTGCAAAGGATAGGAATTTCAAAAGTTGTTCACAATTATAAGAACCAATTTTATATATCCCGAAGTATCTCAATAGAAGGCTTTTTAACTAATATATTTTTACTGCATATTTCAAATCTGTGTTGCATTCAAAAGAAGTTATACTTTTTTCCATTGGTCTTGCTAGTTGTTGCCTTTAGCCACTTACATTTTAGTATGTAGAAGTTCATTATAATTTCAACATATTTTTTTATGACTTACATATTTTTCTATATCTGAATAGAATATTCTACAAGTATATTTGTTTAACATATTTAGGTGCCAATTCTCTGGTAACATAGACCATTACATACCGTTGTTATGCAACCCTATGTTATGCTTCTTTCTTGGTACTAAAAAATGTGAAAAAAATGTGAATTTGCTGTGCTATAAGAAGTTTTACACATAAAACCATGTGTTATGAATGCACATCACAAAGCACTTATGCACTTATGCTAAGATTCTTTTTTTAAAGTTTGTGCGTTATATAGGTTAAGTTTTATAATTAATACTACACAGCAAATACATAGCATTTCGACATTTTAGTACCAAGAAAGAAGCATAACATACCGTTGTCATAGCAACCGGTGAATTGGCTCCTTAGTATCCTCAATATATGCTAACACTAATAAAATTAAATTTTGCTCTACATTATGAGTCTATAATTTCTTATGTTATATTATAACATTGTTAGTATTATTCTGTCCCAACCAGGACTCGATTCGAGTACCTCTGGCAAGCAAGGCGAATATGTTGCCACTAAGGCTATATTGAATACATACTTTAATTATGCAATTTTGTAAACTAAAAATCATTTTATTATTACAACTGACCAATGTGACATTTATATATTATAATAAGGGCTTACTAGCGGCCTCACTACTTGTCTTGCAGGAAAACTTTTCAGTCCACCAGTTTGATATGTTAAGAAATTAACGAGCACTGAAAAAAACTCCCACGGCAAATGTATCTGCGTTTTGTATACTACTTGTAGTTTTTTTCATGAGAAATATCAGCATAATTAGCCTAAGCGATATAAGTAGTATTGTTAAAAAAAAATAAAAAGTGAATATAAAACAATGGAACATGGATATATTAGCCATGATTTCAATTTAGAACAAATATCAAGATCATATAAACATGGAATTGCTTGTCGATTTAAATATCGCATCGATATCCTCAACAGTGCAGTAGATTTTGATATATCGAGAATGATTTTTAATGATTTCTATATTAATAATAAACAAGTTAAGTAAATTGTTTAGAAAAATATATTGGATAATCTATATTAATTGTCGAAGATGATGGTAATTAGCAAATACTTAATAACAAAAATCAACGCCAACATTTATTTCTAAATGCAAACAAAATTTTGATCCTGTTCAAAAGGTATTAAATGGGAAGCGGATTGCTCAGAACATTTTTATAATATTAATAAAAGCAAAACGATTTTAATTCGTGATGAAATAAAGTTTGAAGAGTTCTAGATAACTTTAGATAAAATGTAAATGAAGAGTTTTAGATAAAATGACTCAAAATGCTACTTAGGGGCCATTCAAGTATTACGTAATTACTATAGGGGGGCGGGGGGTTATTAATTTGCTTATTTTGCTTATTTTGGGTAAGAACTTTTGCTTACTTTTGTTGTCAAAGGGGAGGGGGGAGGTAAATAATTTTAATAAATCTGCTTACGTAATACTTGAACTTACACAAATCAATCCATTTCTTATCTCATTTTTTTAAATTATTTTATGCTTAAGGATGAACAACATTAATCGTCTGTTATTAGATTGTGATGTTCTGGTTAACTGTATTGAAAATAATTAATTTTTTTTACTGATGATTTATAAAAAAGGCTGAAGATAGATAAATTTGTATTAAGTTCCGATCTGTGACATTAACCAACACTATTATAAATATAAAACATTTGTTTCCTAATATCTGTTATATTGAAAAAAACAGGTGTTGTCAGGGTTTCATAACATCTGGACCAAAACCGCATAATTTTTTCTGCACATTATACATGTTTTTTGTGTTCTCGTCAATTGGCCAATTTAGTGCATGTTATAGGTTCTACAAAGAAGTTGTCAGAATGTTGAAGGACTATATATAAGTTTATATAGTTATATTCACATTCGCAGTTATTGAACTATTTAAATAAACCTGAGAATCAAAGTTCAGTTGCACTGATTATATAAGCATTGACCTCTATTATTCGCACTTGAAATAATAGATACAGTTTTCTGAAGCATCGACTGCTAAATATTTTTTCTCATATTTTAACCTTAGAACCTTATACCGTATAAGCTATTGGGCTGAAACTTCTCCTTACGTCGTATTTTCAGATAGTAATTCAAGGATTGATCCATCCATATTTAATAATTTTATTATCTAATATAATAATATAAAAATAAAATTTCTATGGATTTTTTTTTTATTTCCATCTAAACTTGTTGTGATTAGTTATTAAATAAGTTTTTAAAATACTACCCATTGGCAGTATTTCAAGTTAGTATAGTAAATATAAATGTGTGACAATAATTATAATTTCTATGGAAAAAAAGAATTTATTCTATATATCATACAAAATGCATCGGCGATATGATGAAATAAACTCTTGTCTTAGCTAACATGTATTTGCATTAACTTTTGATTATTCAAATACGTCCTCTTTCTCTAATAACATTTGACATGTATTTTTTTTTAACTTATAAGCTATTAATAACTCTCTGATTATATTATTTGTCTTCAAATACGAAATGAATTTGTATATACAATAAATAAATAACTGAACAATTGATGAGGTATATACAATTTCGAGGAATCACACAATGAGGATAATTATAGACCCTGCTATATTGTAGAATTTTCTATATACATTGTGCTTATTGAGCTAGCTAATTATAAAATATTTATTTTTATTTGTATTAATGTCTTCAAAAAGGAAAAATACATTGTTTATTATTTATATTTATAGCATATGCATTAGTATTGTTATTAAGCAAAACATTTTGATATACATAGAAAAAATGGATGTGTGTATATACATGTATGAAATGTGCAGATACAAATTTTTGTCGACGATTCAGAGACACGGATCAACCGATTTGAATGATTCAAAAAACATTCCGTTTTACGGGACAAAAAAGTTAAAAAAAATAGCAATTCAGTTGTTGGGAGAACTGAGCGTCCGATTTGTTTCAAAAAACATTTTACTTGTATTGAAGTAATGAAATATTGATTCAATCTTTGGGAAGGCAGATCCAGCAGTTTTTAAGATCCAGAGAAAAAATTGAAAAAATACATTTTGCGGTCAATATTATAATTATTAATCATTGGACATATACACATCAAATTATCGGAATTTTATAGAAATTTGATAAGTTTAGATAAAGTTTCCAATTAAAATTACTTACATTTATTTGAGTCAAGATTTATATTATATCAAGATTTGTAGTTTCACTTATTACTTATAAGTTCACTTATTTCTTTCATATAAATTAGTCTTCGGCTTTTTCGATAGTATGTATTAAAATCTATTTTTTTTTCAAAGTTTTTAAATAAACTTCAAAGCGATTAAAACACTTAATTAGGTGAAGTTGCAATAATTATATATATAATACGATGCCACAAACCACTCGCTTTTTCTATTATTACATTTCTTATTTGGCTCCCATGGTTCAGTGGATGGAGCTGTCAGGGCTTCAATCAGAAGTTTCAGTTCTGATACCCATCTCGTCACCCTAATATCAAGCAGTAGTATAATATGTTTTCTCCTGAAAATATAGACAGAAATGTTTCCAACTAAAATTTCGGCATTATATGGCATTGCTGCAAAAATAGATCGGCCAAACGTTGGGTTGCCTTCTAAAACCAGTTTGTTAATAAAATTATTCCTCGTCTAAATTAATACTCATATTTAACTCTTCGAAATTTGGAATACTTTCTTCGTATACCTTTTTAGTATATATTTAATTTCTAATGTATATTTAATTTCAGGCACCGCAAAGCTCGGCCCTGGTCTCCAGAATGGGGTATCCGGTTCGCCGAGGCGCGGCCCTGTCTACGGGCAGAGGGACGACTCGGTGGCCGACATGATACATTTGTCCGGAATAGACGAGGAGGCCATCAATAACAATCTCAGGCTTCGATATTGCCGAGACAAAGTATATGTATCCTTTTCATTTTAATTGGAATCGGTAATATGATATAATTAGTAATAGAATTAGCGACATGTATGATAAATATAGAGCTATAAAACGGAATTTATTTTAAATTTGTCTAACGATTGGTCGATTTCGACGAAGCTTTCCAAACTGGGTTGATTGATGATTATATGAATGAAAGGTAAAACTATTTTCAAATTCAAAAGAAAAATTGTATGCATGCAATCATTAAAATATTTTTTTTTATTTCTATATAATTACAATCAGCCTTAGTAGTTAATTTTGGGGACAAATTTCTATATATAAGATTTCAAAACGCTGTCTAGTAGTAGTCATCTTAAATTTGAAAATTGATACAGTAAAGTAATAAAAAGTCTCTATTACATAGAGATTTAATAATTTGGTATATCTAAGGGATTTCTCTTCCTCCTGAAATTCATTAGAATAATAAAAAAGAATTTATGCATTTAGGATGTATATCATTCTGACAATAGTTTAAAACTTGACCTAGTAGTAGTCATCTTAAATTTGAAAATTGATACAGTAAAGTAATAAAAAGTCTCTATTACATAGAGATTTAATAATTTGCTATATCTAAGGGATTTCTCTTCCTCCTGAAATTCATTAGAATGATAAAAAAGAATTTATGCATTTAGGATGTATATCATTCTGACAATAGTTTAAAACTTGACCTAGTAGTAGTCATCTTAAATTTGAAAATTGATACAGTAAAGTAATAAAAAGTCTCTATTACATAGAGATTTAATAATTTGCTATATCTAAGGGATTTCTCTTCCTCCTGAAATTCATTAGAATGATAAAAAAGAATTTATGCATATAGGATGTATATCAATCTGATAATAGTTTAAAACTTGACCTAGTAGTAGTCATCTTAAATTTGAAAATTGATACAGTAAAGTAATAAAAAGTCTCTATTACATAGAGATTTAATAATTTGCTATATCTAAGGGATTTCTCTTCCTCCTGAAATTCATTAGAATGATAAAAAAGAATTTATGCATTTAGGATGTATATCATTCTGACAATAGTTTAAAACTTGACCTAGTAGTAGTCATCTTAAATTTGAAAATTGATACAGTAAAGTAATAAAAAGTCTCTATTACATAGAGATTTAATAATTTGCTATATCTAAGGGATTTCTCTTCCTCCTGAAATCCATTAGAATGATAAAAAAGAATTTATGCATTTAGGATGTATATCATTCTGATAATAGTTTAAAACTTGACCTAGTAGTAGTCATCTTAAATTTGAAAATTGATACAGTAAAGTAATAAAAAGTCTCTATTACATAGAGATTTAATAATTTGCTATATCTAAGGGATTTCTCTTCCTTCTGAAATTCATTAGAATAATAAAAAAGAATTTATGCATTTAGGATGTATATCATTCTGACAATAGTTTAAAACTTGACCTAGTAGTAGTCATCTTAAATTTGAAAATTGATACAGTAAAGTAATAAAAAGTCTCTATTACATAGAGATTTAATAATTTGCTATATCTAAGGGATTTCTCTTCCTTCTGAAATTCATTAGAATAATAAAAAAGAATTTATGCATTTAGGATGTATATCATTCTGACAATAGTTTAAAACTTGATTGGTAGCTTTGTTCAAGATTTGCTCGTTTCTCGTGATCTTATTCATAAAGCATTTAATAATCTTAATCTGCAAAAACTTGGTACTATAATATTACAGTTATTTTAAAATTATATTTAACCCTTTTCACTCGGATGCCGCAAAATTCATATAAATCTCGTTAATAAATAGTTTAATACATAAAATAAATTATTTTTAAATGTATCTAAAACATAAAACTTCACAAAATTAAAAAAAAATATTTTATTACAATTGGTTTTTAGTATTCTAATCCATTTCAATAAGATTTAATTTGATACATCTGCAACTTACATACCTGTTGTATAATTTGTGAATTTACCATTGATTTATTCGGTAAATATACTATAAATAACCTATACAGAAATGTATACATGTATTATAAAATATTATAAAAGCTTGCAACTATTACTTGAAAACTTCTGACCAAAAATGTTTGAGTTATCATTTTTTATATTTTAGAAACAAAAATATTAGAAAACTTCAAGATATTAGATTTTGAATTTTTAAACAATGTTCTTCATATATCTTTTCAGTTTTGAGGGATAAAAATAGGGACAACTAATTATAAGTGTTAAGTATTTCTCACCAAACACGTTAAGAAATTACAACAGGACCATGTCTATTAAAAATTATGTGAGATAATATTACGGGTTTATATGTTATGCGATTATAATAAAATATTGTAGAGAAAGTCTGCGATTTGTGCAAGTTCAAGAACATTTGTGCCGGAGTTAGATTTACAATCGCTTATCTCAGCAATCAATATATAAAAGCGCCGCTATCAATGGAAGTATGTTGTTCTCTGAAAAGAGACAAAGTAAAAGACTTGTTCCAACAGAATTCTCAATCTGTTGGATGATTATCTTTTTCAAAGCATATGGACTTTAGGTACTAATTTACGGATTAAATAAAAATTTTGTACTAACATTTCTTTAGCAGAACTTGGGATTTTATTGCTGTTATAAACTTGTAACACGTATATATTTCACACATAAATTGCTATGCATAGAGTGAACTAAAATTCTTTTTTCAACAGCGATCTCAACAAATTTATTAAAATTATTGTGAACGCGAACTAATTTAGTATTACTTGAGTAATACTCTTAATTATTGGTAAGTGATGATATAGAAGAATATTGATCGGTTATTACAATTTTTTTCAGCACTTATTTCTAGAAAAAAGGACGTTTTACGGTTTTAAATAATGCATTGTTACTGTAGAGCTCAAACACATTCTAGATTTAAGGAAGAATTAAATAGTATTTAAATTTGCGAAAATTCAACCAAATAATTTATCAATTTGTGTCAAAAGCTTACGGAGAAAAATAAATAATTGTTTAAATTTGGTAACATTTTAAATTCTCTATTTTTGTGTTATAGAATAAAATGTGTTAAAATCGAGCTTTATAATTATTCCATAGGACAGTATACCTTAACTCACTTAAAAATTCACATAGGTATATTCATTAGATAATTTAGTTAAACTTGACATTAGATAATTTAGTTAAACATATACATTGTATTAATGTATCAAAGAAAAAAAAATTGCCAAAATTCCTAGAGGAATAGTATTTTTTATGTCACACATATTTGACTGACATGGCCTTATATTAAAACTTTTTTTCTCTTTCTACTAGATATGTCAAACATAGTTTATATAGATCTTCTTAACGTCATACACATATGACTGACATGGTGTTAGTATGTACAATTCCAACAAAAAAAAATGCATTTAAATGTTACTTTTACTTCAAGAATCTTTTTGTAGTGGGTGTCACTAGAAGGATAGGAACACTCAAAAAATTACTCTCACCCTTCTAATGATTTATTTGCTTGATATATCTTTCAAAAGAAACTCTCCTCTAGACTATATGTTAAAAATTGCATTCCAGGGTCATTTGCTTATTGGAGCAGTTCCTGGAAAAAAGCAAATTGTAGGAACTTCCTACAATTTGCTTTTTACCTTTGAGTCATTTTTATTTATGTTTAGTTTAGTCTTATAAATTCTGAGAATTCTATCTATAACTCTGATTATTTGCATAATATTGTATGATTAAAAATTTCTACTTTGAGTTCAGTTTGTCTGTTAAGCTGAAATCTATTTGTGGTGGCAGCACGGAAAACTAGAGATCAAAAATCTTGTTATCACATATCCACGTTGCATTATGAATAAATAAATAATTGCTCATTAGAATTTTATTACACATTTACAATACATTTATTACATATTTCAACACGTGTTTATTGCGTTATATTTTGATGAAAATTTTGAGTATAGGGGAGCTTGAGTTTAATTTGTCAGTGTTAAAGACAACGACATTTTCGATCAATAGTTTTCTGGGGTGTTGAAAACCAACGACAAAAAGCTTCGGATACTTTGAAATTATTGATCCAAGTTGAAGTAAATTCACTGCAAACATTATTCTAATATGTTTTAACTTCTACTTTAAAAGCTAGCAGAGCAAATACCTATTTATTGTAAATGAAATTGTGATTTTACACTGTATCATAATTATATATTATTATTTTCTGTCGAATAATTCTGTAAAATCAGTTCAAGAACTTTTGGAAAAAATTTTAAATTTTTATTTATTAACGGTTATTAACGATTTTTTGAACTTCCAATATAGGATGGGGTCCAGTTTTTTGACTTCAAGTTTCATTTTTTATAACGGTTCATACACACTTTCTGATAGTTTACAGAGTAGCTTCTGAAGCACTTTAAAAATATAATATGATTCTATACTAAATTAAATTAAATTAAAACGAAGAACAGAAGTTCATTCAATAACCTTATGAATTTAAATTAGAGAAGTTAACAAAAAGTTTTACTTAGAGGCTGATCTTGGTATGAAGGTTTTTGATAAGTCATATCATATATTTCTTATTTTTTTACAGTATTTTATAGTACAATATTATAAAAAAAAAAGTTTCTTTAAAATCCTTCACAATTTCTTATTTTCTAATTCTCAATATTCAATGGCATTTTGTAGAACTGGAATACTTGTAAAATAGCAAAATTTTGAAAAATGTTAAATATGATGGAAACATGAAAACTTCTCGATGTCAATCTTATTTTGTCTATCAGAAAGGTAAAGAAAAAGCTGTTATTTGAGATACTGATATTTATGCTAATACACATGAACGAAAACTTTCTTAAATTGTCATAATCCGTTAATTCATTTTTTAAATATATTAAGTTTCAAATGACATATACATAATATTATCAATTTCCGGAAATATTAGTAAGAAGAAATCACTTTCGTTGAGTCACCCAGCACGCGCAAGTGAAAGTATCAAAAGTTTTCGTTGACGCAAATAAGATATTGTGTGTCAATTTACGAGGATACGAATTTCTGACAAGCAGCCG